CACATGAATCCCCCTGTGCTATAGCTCTAAACGCAGAAAACACATTTATTCCTTTTATTAATTCTTCTTACATCTTTTTTGGAGTATAATTGCTTTACAATGGTGTGTTAGTTTCTGCTTTATAACAAAGTGAATCAGCTATACATATACATATATCCCCATATCCCCTCCCTCTTGAGTCTCCCTCCCTCCCACCCTCCCTATCCCACCCCTGTAGGTGGTCACAAAGCACGGAGCTGATCTCCCTGTGCTATGCGGCTGCTTCCCACTAGCTATCTGTTTTACATTTGGTAGTGTATATATGTCCATGCCACTCTCTCACTTCGTCCCAGCTTACCCTTCCCCCTCCCCATGTCCTCAAGTCCATTCTCTACATCTGCGTCTTTATTCCTGTCCTGCCCCTAGGTTCTTCAGAACCGTTTTTTTTTCTTTAGATTCCATATATATGTGTTAGCATACAGTATTTGTTTTTCTCTTTCTGACTTACTTCACTCCGTATGACAGACAAGATGTGGCACATATATACAATGGGCTATTACTCAGCCATAAAAAGAAATGAAATTGAATTATTTGTATTCCTTTTATTAATATCATTATACTTAGCATATTTTTCCCTGGGACTGGAAGTAGATGGCTGTTTCAACACTTAAAATGTTTACCAGCGGCAGCTGTTTTCATGAATTTGCATCTCAGCACCGTGGGGAATGTTATGTTGGTCTCTAATCCTGAGCTGAAACTGTCAAAGAAAGTAATGCACAGCGGTTGGTAGCAAACATTGTTTGACACACTTGGTAGGTCCTTATACAGGCTGCTCTCTGATCGCAGGTGGGGATTCGCACAAATCTCGGGGTCAGAAACAATAACGCAAATAAAATACCTGACCAGAATTCTTCAACACCTGGGAACCTTTTAAAAAGCCGTCTCACCAGCTAGAAGGGATGCTCTTGGCACTAGGAACAGTTCATTATAAGAGACAACTAAAGTATTAGGAATTTTACTCTTCAACATAAGTTAAGCTTAAAATAACTTCTGTGTTTTATTCTGAAATGAAACACACATCCTACATTTCTGTTAAACCTCAGTCCAATAACAAGCCGTAAGTCATTTAATAAAGCAGCTGATCAATTTGATTGAAAGTGGATTAGCATCGCTGTTGTCACATGAAATAAAACAGAGAGGTGATGACCAGGTCATAAATGTTTCACTTTGGTTATAGATCCAAGCACTATACATTTTGCAGTCACCTGAAATCCTTGGTCACACATCTTTCATCATTTCCTCCCCCCGGAGCTTTAGCTCACACCATTCTTTCTGTTCTCTGAACTCGCCTATTAGTTACACTCGGTACGTCAGCTCTTAATTATGGGCTGCATCGCCTTTGCAGAACAGAATGCTAGCCCTTGAAAGCATCTTGCTAATCCTCTGATCTAACCTCCTTATCTAACAAAATGCCCCCCAAATCGTGATTTTTTTACAATATCTGTATCATGCACCTCATGTGTAGCAGAATTGAAACTAGACTTGAAACTTACTGATGTCTAATCCAGGAATTTGCCATCTTTAAAATGCAGTGTTCATGTGTCTTCCCAACCAGATTGGAAGGTCTCTGGAATAAAACTGCACATAAGCAGGTATATAATGAATGCTTTAGTCTGATTCTTGTATGCCCTAGAGTATGTTAGAGTTGGAAACAGTAGCTGGAAAAGGCCACTTCAGTAAACTTCACACTTGTCTTAAAATCCTGTTGTGACAGACAGGGTTTTTAAAAGATACTTAAAACATCTAGAAGGTGCGATCGCTTTTGTAAGTTTCAACGAGTCATCGCATAGACTCCAAAATCTATATCCAAATATAAAGCAGTCATTTGATAAAGAGAGATTATTTGGATTATCCTGCGTTCCCAAATTATCATGAGAAACCTTCTCTGTTCACTTAAAACTTTATAAGGAAAATGATTTCTCCCAGGCATCCACATTTCCAAAGGATTCAGGGATCTTTGGAGAAATGCTAATTATAGGATCAAGACAGAAAAAGAACACGAGGTGCGCCTGGCCTATCTTTAGTGTCCCAAAGTAAGTGCTAAAAACAAACAAACAAAAAACTATGTTGAGAGAATATGTCAAAGGAACACAGGATCCAAGTGAAAGGGTTCCCAATGGCTAAAGATGGGATGATTTGAACAAAAAATAAAGTAGGATTGGATTATAACACAAAGCATAAAATAAATATCCATGGGTCCATATCGATATTAGCAAATAATTGAGTACATAAATGAATGGAGGAGGGACAAATCTGCCCTGCAGAAGAATTCCGAATATTTTATGTAGATACTCTGCCCCTAGGGAAGTGAGGCATAAACCGCCCTCCCTAAGTGTGGGTTACACATAGTGACTTCTTTCCAAAGGACACAGTGTGGAAAAAATTAGAATAAGTAACTTGATGGTGGAGAAACCTAACAAGACCTCAGCCCAGTGGTCAGAGTTAACACCAATAGTGATGAGTCACATTCATTTATGTGCCCTTGATACGATGTGATAAAAATGATACTTTACTTTATTCCTGCCAAAACCTGTAACCTACGCTAGTCATGAGAAAAATTTCAGAAAATTCCCTATAGAGGGACATTTTACAGAATCCCTGGCCACTACTCAAAACTGTCAAGGTCATCAAAAACAAGGAAAGTCTGAGAAGCTATCACAGGTAAGAGTAGCTAAAGGAGACACGACAACTCAATGTACTGTGTTATCATGAATGGAATCCAGGGACAGAAAAGGCACATAAGGTGAAAAATAAGAAAATCTAACTAAAGTATTGACTTTAGTTAATAGTAATGTATCAATATTAGTTCAATAAAATTAACAAAGGTGCCAAGCAAATATAAAATGTTAATCATAGGGGAACCGGGTGTAGGTTTATGGGAACAACAATGTATACTGTGTTCACAATTTTTCTGTAAATCCAAATTTTTTTCTAAAATAAAATGTTGATTTAAAATAAATAAATTGGCAAAATATCTGAACACAGAAGTTAATACAAAATTAAATACACAAATTGCTCGTAAGCACACGAAGAGATGCTAATCAAGGATGTGCAAATTAATACCGCAGTGAAATACCACTGCACCTGACAACACCAAGGGAGGGTGAGTGTTTGTTGCAACTGGAACTCCTCCAGATTGCTGGTCAGGGTGCAAACTTATAAAACCATTTAGGAAAACAGTTTGAGGGTTTCTTTAAAATTTAAACATATACTTTCCCTATGACCCAGCAATTAAACTCCTAGCTATTTATTCAAAAGGAATAAAGATATATGTCTACACAAAGACTTGCACGCAAGGATTCATAACAGCCTTATTCATGAGATCCCAACCCTGTAAATTAGTAAGAAGTTTTTTGTAAACAAATTGTGTTCAGTAATAAAATGATGATTACATATTTTTCTAGTAATTTTGCTGTATGTATTATCTCCAGAATATCAAGATGTTATATAAAGACAAAGATGATAACCCCATGTTTTATGTTAGCCATACTACCATTTATTCATATCTGTTCAAGGATAACCAATCTATTTTTAAATAATTTCCCCTTATAGATTTCCACTCCGATTCTAATTATCCAGCCATGCTCAGTAACAGTGAGATGACTTTCTCCAAATCACCAAAAGTAAGATTCCTTTCCCAACGTGATTTTAAGCTCTAGGTAGTTCAACTCAGACTTACTTCAAAGGAGGCTGCTTGTGATTTTTTTTTTTTCTGTGGGGACATTTGGCTGACTCTCTACATCAGAAAATTCTTTGCACTAACGAGAAATGGTTAGATGCATCGTTGTGTGTTATTTTTATTTATTTCCTCCTGAATTAGATCAGGTGTTGTATTTTGTTTCCTCAATATTATACTCTGAACCAAGACGCAAAATTAATGTATTACATTTAGGTTTTTAATAATGATATAATATTTACAATTGTGGTTGTGTTTACAGAGTAGCAGCCATTTATATAAAAAGTGAAAATTTATATATTATTATTCCAATTTTTTGATTTAATAAAAATCAGAGCATCTAAGGAATGATTAAACATTTAATGACTAAACCCAGATTGTTGCCTTAAACACACATATGTTCATCATTTTTGAGTAAAATAGAATTATTATTTCAGGTCCACTAACTACCATTTTTTAATTTAATAAGGTTCTGTTGAGCTTGCCTCATTTATTTAAAAACACTCACGTAGCCTATACTGAAATTAAATGATGAGGCATCTCCATATATTTCTACTGACACTAATATTTTGATGGCTAATACTTTGCCTCTGATTTAAGAGTCTGGTTATTGGCAGTGAAGATAATCCATGAGACCTGCTTCTTATAAAAAGAATTGTTCTAGAAGATGTATTACTTTAGATATTATTTATTGCATATTTCCAGACTTTAAATTGTTTGGAGCCGAGGATTCCTTCTAAAAATGTTCTTTGAGTTCGAAGAACTCACCTTGTCCTGCCCAAAAGCGTGAGTAAATCACTCCTGAGCAGCAAAGCAAAGAGAAAATAAAAGTCATAGGGACACATTAAGGTTATTTGCTAGGACAGTTCTGAACTATGCCGAAGTTAAGATGCGTTCGCACATTATGAGGATAGTCTTAAAATGAGCTGCGTTCTTACCAAGGTATTGTGCATAGTTTGGAGGGCAGAGTTTCGTTAGAAACAATAACACAGTCTCTAAACATCAGTGCCAAAGCAAGAGAAAGATGCGTGAGTCCAAATTCATTCATTCACACCTTCCTTTCCCTCCCAAATCAGGGAGGGAAATAACATCAGTTTCCCTACGTTTGAGCAAACCATTAATCTAGGATGTATTTTTGATACCTCCCTGGTTTCTCAGTTTAGTTAGTCACCCAGCCATACCAGTTTTAACGTCCAAATATCTATAGAAAACTAACCACGGGTAATTAGACTGTAATCAATCTCCTAGCTCATATTTTCACCTTCTCGTCCCTAGGTTACTGCAAAAGTATCTGAATTTCCTGTTCTGGAGGCATTAACTGTCTTCTTATATTGAAAACCTGATCACCTGCTTAAAACTAACTGCTCAATGGCCCAAGGATAAAGACCACTTTTTATCAAGGTCTGTATAGACTTCATGATTTGCCCATAATTTCATTTTTCCACTCTGTCTCTTCCTTTTCTTTGTTCAACAGACACATTGGCCTTCTCTCATTTACATGCTTGTAAATCCTGCCACAGGGCCTTTGCACAAGCTGATCCTTGGCCTGAAATGTCCATGTTGCTCAAAACACTTGTCACACGACCACATCTGTACAGGTGTCAGTTCTTCAGAGAAACAACTCATGGTTCCCTAGGCCCTGTTCATACACTCTTTCTTTACAATATCAGTGCACATTTTTTACTGCTCTGTGTTTAAGAATGTACCAATGGACATTTGGCTCAACATCTTATTCTGAACACTAAATAGAGTGAAGCAAATGTTTTTTGATGAATGAAAAAATACTTATACATCACCTCCTTTGTTCCTGGCAGTGATCTGGCTCCTGCAGAAATAACAGCAAATTCTTTGGGGACGAATTGTTAAGAGATGATAAACAAATGTCAGGAAGCGTGTAGAAATACTATGTTCTACAGATAAGGAAAAAACATATTAAAACCTAGCAGGGGATAGAGTGACGGGGGATATCCCCTGGTCAAAGACAGTCTCTCTGAGAAGCTGACACTGGAGAAGGAGTTAAATGACCTGAGACATTCTGCTTTCTGGTCACATCACACAGAGTCTCGCAGGCATGTTACTTTTGAACTTGGAATTTTATTCTGAGTGAGATGAGAAGTCATTGGAGGGTGATGAGCAGGGTGTGATGTGGTCTGACTCGGTAAATAAAGTGATGTGTTCTGAATATATAATAAAGATTCCCTCTGGTTGCTCCGTGGAGTACAGACTTTATCACGGAAAAGGCAAAACATGTAGATTAGTGATCAGATTACTCCAATCACGCAGAAGAGAGATGTTTGGATTCCGGATCTTTGGAAGGTAGAGCTTTCAGGATTTGCTGGAGGAGAAGATGGGTTTGGGTGAAAGAGAGGGGTATCCAGATGACCCCAAGATTTTAGTCTCAGCAACTGTAGGAGAACTACCCTCCCCTGAGAGATGGAAGCCAAGGAGGGGGTGTGGTGCAGGTTTGGAGGGTGGGTTTGGCGAGAGAGTCAAGAGCTAGTAATTATTTTAAGAGAACTCAGTTTTCTCCATGGGTTAAAGTACCTCAACATAACAAATCACTTAGAGCATAAGAAACTCATGAACCAGAAATCATGCTCAGGGGATTCTACGTTACAATATTAACATTATGCTGTGAAGGAATTATAAAATATTTATATAGTGCTAATTAATTTTTAAGTCTTTTTTTTCTTTCAAGAGTTACCTTTTAAGGCCAGTACAGGGCCTGATACGAATTTCTCTCGATGGTTTAAAGCCTATGGTTTTAAGTGACTGTAGCAAACATAATGTCTAATTCATTAACTCTTAACTATGTTGATTTATTATCACTAGGTGATATTTGCTGAGGGTATCACCACATTGTACCTTCTTAATGATTACAATAATTCTTTTGTAGTACTGAAAATCTGTGAGGGACAGGATCAAGAGTTCACACTTAAAGAGGCTGAATTTGAAATGTCCTAACAGATATTTCCGATTATCACTCTCTTAATATAGGAATAATCAAGGGACTTTACCTGTTTCAGCCCGGGCTGTAAATATTTTTAAATAGCCTAAAGATTTGTAAATACAGATATGCCCTCATATGTCTTTGGGGCTTGAATTCACAGTACTGTTGTAATTGGGGTAAACTCAGGCTGAGAAATACATTTAAAGTTGTCCACAGTTGATATCACACCTGCTACCTCGCAGAAGTTAATACCATTGAGAAAAGAAGACACTCCATCAACCCAAGAGGTTGATTTTCCCAGAGAGATCCACCAAGGATGAGCTCGTAAGTCAGAATTACAAGACATACGAGGGAAAAAGATTAGCAAGAGTTGTCAGGAAAAGAAAAAAACATAATCAGAACCCAAGAATTGGAGATTATGGAATTATTGGAAACAAAGTATTTATAAATGTTTGAGAGTGGATCAAAACATCAGAGAAAGAACAAAAATTTGATAAATATCTTTATCGTAGAGATAAAGCAGAGTAGATTTGGATTCATGATTATAGCTCTAACTTAATGTAAAGAGCTTAAGAGTTGTCACTTCTGTGCTTACAACAAGAAAAAAATCTGGAAAAACAAATGACGTGGATACATGAGAGAATTCAGGTGACAGGGTAAATGTCCACCCCAGAGTCTTGCGATACAGGCAAATACAGAGAATCACAGTGAGATCAGGTTACAGAGAGCAGCAACTAGGCTCTGGTGGAAAAAATAGGCAACATGCAAGAAAAGACAATGAGTAATGGAAAAAGAGAGATCGAAAGTTAGACAGAATCAAAAAGAAATGTTAGAAAATGAAAATTCTGTAAGAGAGCTGAAGAATGTCTTTGATGAGCTCATCAGCTGACTGGATATGGCCAAGGAAAGGATCAGTTAGCTGAAGATATGTCAATAGAAACTTCCTAAAGCGAAAAGCAAAAGGGAAAAAAAAAAAAATGAATGAAAAAAAATCACGACAGGATACTCAAGAACGGCAGGACAATTTTTTTTTTAAGATTTCTTTTTATGTGGACCATTTTTAACTTCTTTAGTGAATTTGTTACAATACTGCTTCTGTTTTATGCTTTGGTGTTTTGGCCGTGAGGCATGTGGGATCTTAGCTCCCCTACCAGGGATCGAACCCACACCCCCTGCATTGGAAGGCGAGGTCTTAACCACTGGACTGCCAGGGAAGTCCCTGCAGGACAATTTTTAAAAGGATAATATGAGATTAATCAGAATACCACAAAGATATAAAAGAACGAAACAGAAATATTTAATGTAGTAACAGCCAAGACATTTCCAAAATTAATTAGACACCAAACCACAGTTCCAGGAACCTCAGAGAATACTAAAATCTACACCTACGTAAATCACGTTTAAACTGCAGAAAAACTAAGACAAAGATAAAATCTTAAAAGAAGCTGGGGGCAGAAAGATATCACCTTACCTCTAGAGGAACAAGGGTAAGAACTACTGTGGACTTCTTCTCAGCAAACCGTGCAAGCAAGAAGACTGCGTGCAATATTTGAAGTGCTGAAAGAAAAAATCAAAACAAAACACACCAGATAGAATTCTGTATCCAGAGAAGTTATCCTTCAAGAAGGAAAGAGAAATAAAGATTTTCTCAGACAAACTACAACAAAGAACGCATTGCCAGCAAACCGGCCCTGCAAGAAACAGTAAAAGAAATTTTTCAGGAAAAAGAAACTTGGACCTACGTAAAGAAAGGCAAAGCACTGGAGAAAGGAGAAATGAAGATAAAATAAAATCTTGTCTGTTCTTAATTGATCTAATTGATACGGATAAGTGAAATAAATGACAGCAGTGTTTTAGGGGATGGGGGGAAGGAATGGGGAATCATCTTTTATAAGGTATTTGCACTATCCGTGAGACAGTATAGTGTTATTTGAAGTGTGCTTAAATTAGTTGTAAATGTATATTATAAAATCTAGGGAAACCACTAATTTTTTAAAAAAGACAAAGCGCATTTGGGAAAACGATGAGCTTCTTAGAAATGGAAAAAGCATATTGAAAAAAGATATCAGTGAAATTAAAAATGAAATGGGTGAGTTGAAAAAAAAAGATTAGACAGATGAAAACAGAAGTACGGTTAGGTATAAAAAATCTGAAGAAATTATGCAGGCGTGGTATAGAGATTCAGAGAGTTGGAAAACATGAAAGATATCAGACAGTATGCACGCTATGGCACAGACCAGGCTTTATCTCTGGGGAGCACTACACGGCCTGTGGTTTAGGATGTGATGATATTTAAGACTACAAGGATGGTACAAGTCATTCCTGGGGCCCTTTAGGCTGCAAAACAAGGCCAGGTGAGCTGAGCAGATCTGAGGAGACTCGTAAAAGAGCCTGGGACACTTTGATGATGCTTCAATTCGGGTAGACCTGGGATAAAACCACTCAATGGAAAATTACTTTGTGAAACTTCTCATAGTAACTGCTCAATCATACATTTGGTAAAAGTAGTGAAGTGTAAATTATTTGCAAAAAATACAGAAGCCCATGTTATTACCATAAAACTTGGAAAAATAATTAACATTTGCATTATGACTCCATTATGGGTTCAGCTGTACTATGTCTGAAGTATTTCAGTCCTCCCATTTCATTACGAGAAACATAGGATTATTTAAGTGAACCATTCCTCATGTAGGTGAATGCATGACACAAGGTTTTATAAGGGGATTTGACTATATAAATGATCAGAAAGAGCAGACCAGAGAAACATGAACATATCAATAGGAATGTTGATTTTTTTTATAGATTAATACTTTACTACCAGCACTAGATAGTTTAAAGTACTTTCCAAGGACTTGAATTTGTAGAGGAGTCTTAGTGCATCTAGTACAATGAAACAGAGAAATGAAGTACTATGTGAAAACTTAAACATTTTTCTAGCCAGTCTGTTCTGTTCTTTAGTGGGAGAAAAGAGGTAAGATCATTCTGTGCGTTGGCTGAATTCTCTGGACCTTTTGCCATGACATGCTTCTGGAGGAATATGTTTGCTGGTTGGTTTGTTTTTATTATCATTCACTTACAATTATATCTGAATAATTGTTCACTTCTAATCATATCTGAATACTTTGAAAAAAATTTATATTCCCGTAAATAATGCTAGAAACTTGAAATACATAACCTGGGGCAGACTTTTCATTAGGCTGTTACATTATTTCTATCTTTGATATTGTATGACAGCAGAAAAGTTAGCATTACCTTTATGCTTGATTTCTTTTTTACTTTTTAATTAATTGTTTATTGGCGTATAGTTGATTTACAATGTTGTGTTAGTTTCTGCGGTACAGCAAAGTGAGTCAGTTATACGTATACAAATATCCACTCTTTTGTAGATTCTATTCCCATATAGGCCATTACAGAGTATTGAATAGAGTTCCCTGTGCTATACAGTAGGTTC